GAACTAGTTTTGAAGCTCTATAATTCAAGTACAATTTTTAAGTGCCCCTTATATATCTAAAAATTTATTTCACTACTTCTTAGTGAACCTTTCTTGGATTAGAATAAAATGTATTCACTATACCAACTGCATGACCAATGTTAGGTCATGTGCAAACTACAAGATACATCAAAGAACTGATTGCAAAAGAATAAGGAATACTAGACATAGCTAGTTGCTCTTTCTTAGTCACCAGATAAGATTTCTTACTCAAATGAAAATGGTTGATAAGTGGAGTGCTAACTAATTTAGCATGCTATATGTTAAATCTATTACGCACCCGTTCAACATACTTTTCCTGTGATAACTACAGTTTTCCAGCTATCTTTTCCTAGATAATATCCATACCAAGAATCTGCTTTATTGGACCAAAATCTTTTATGTCAAAGGACTTAGACAATTGTTTTTTCAACTTGTGAATCATACCTGCATCTTGTCCTATAATCAACATATCATCAACATACAATAAGAGAATAATGAGTTACCATCAGAGAATTTTTTTATATACATACAAGGATCCATTATCGTTCTTTTATAACTTTGACTTGTTATAAAAGAATCAGACTTTTTGTACCACTATCGTGGAGCTTGTTTCAAGCTATACAAGCTTTTTTTTTTTTTGCAAACTAAATGTTCTTTCCGTTTGACTTCAAAACCATTAGGCTAACCCATATAAATGTTCTTCTACAAGTCACCATGCAAGAATATAGTTTTAATATCAAGTTGCTCAAGCACAAGATTCAAATTTGCTGCTAATCCTAATACTACTCAAATGAAATTCATATTCACAATTGAAAAGAAGATCTTATCAAAATCAATGTTGGGTTTCTGAAAAAATTTTTTTTATCACCAATCAAGTTTTATGCCTCACTAGTTTGTCACCTTTTTTTTTTTTTAGCTTAAGTACTATTTATTCTTCAATGGCCTCTTTCGTTTCAAAAGTTTAACCAGACTATATATACCTTTTTTTTACAATGACTCTATTTCTTCTTTCATTACTTTTAACTAGTACTCTTTATATGAAGTATTCTGCACATTTTAAAAGCTCTTTAACTCCCTCTTACTAGTAACTAAAATAAAATCTAAACTTGGATACCTGATGGATGGCCGATGCTTTTTGGTAGATCTTTTAGGTTGAGGCTTTACATTACTTGATGCCGAATATAGCTTTCCTTACTTAACACTCTCTGATGGAGAGGATTGCTTACTCTACTTAACATTCTCTAGGGGAGAGCACTTATTGTGGCTGGCTCATTCATATCCATAAATTCTATCTTTGCTCATTTTCACCATCTATGGCTCTTTTCGATGGAACTCTTGTCAATATTGAAATATCACACTTAACAATAACTTATATAGTCTTCTCATTTTCTGCTATGATTTATTTTTCATGAAAGACCACATTTATGCTTTTGATTATTTTTCTCTTCACTGGATCCTATGCCTTAAAGCCAAATTCTTCATTACCATATCTTATAAACACACACTGTGTGGCTTTACTGCCAAGCTTTAGACCTAAAAACTTTCAAGTGAGAGTATGAAGCATCTTTCCCTATCCACATTCTTTTTAGAATGTCAAAGCCCAAATGAACTTATGGTGATCTATTAAGTAAACAGCAAGCTATGTTAATTGCTTCACCTCAGAATAACTTTGATAATTTTGCCATCCTTAGTATATATCTAACTTTTTTTACAATTGTGGGTTTATCCTTTCAGCTACACCATTATACTGCGGTGTTCTATGTTTTGTCATCTTATGCCTTATCCCATGATTTAAATAGTATTCTTTAAAGTATTTAGATGTGTATTTCTCATCATTATTAGTTTGAATATACTTTAATGGCAACCCTGTCATTCTTTTCACTATGACATGAAATTTTTGAAAATATTATAATACCTAACTTTTGTTTTTCAACTTATACACCTAAGTCTTATGTGAAATATCATCAATAAAAATAATAAAATACCTACTACCACCTAATGACTCAACCTCAATTGGACCACATAAATCAGAATGAATTAATTCTAGTATGTTTTTTTTCCTCTGAGAGCACTTACAAAAAGAAACTCTATGATGCTTACCATGCAAATAATGATCACATAAATCGAGAGACATATCTTTGGTCAAGAAAATGAAAGATTGCCTTGCCAAAACCTATAACCCTTTCTCACTTATGTGTGCTAGCCTTTTATGCCACATATTTGCTGAAGCATTATCCTCAAAGGCATTTTATCTGGTTACCGTTCAATTGTATCTATGTCTTACACATTGGGTAGCATAATTTTTCTCTTGCAATTATCATAGATCCTTTGAAAAGCTTCCACTGCCCATTCATTTGTCTACTCTCATATATTTTTTTTATCAAAGACATTGATTGCAACCAAGTTTATTCTCATATTTGAAATATGTCTAACATCTCTCAAAGTCAACATACAACCTATACTAGTTTGTACAACAATATCACCATTCTCAATAATCTACAATACACTATTGTTTCTCATCTTAGTGGTACAAAAGCTTTTTGTTTTGTAAGTTGTAAATAATTCCCTCTTACAAGCACAATGATATGCTACTCTTGTGTGAACTATTCATTCAATGCCAAAATCACCAATATGATTACAATAATCATGTGTACAAATCAAAGTAACTAAATCACTATCTAAATTTATTGTCGTAACATTACCATCATCGGAACTTTTGTCTTTCTCATTTTTTGCTCTTGCTTCAAGATTTTACAGTATCACTTTATATGACTAAGTTTACAATAATGGTAACATTTCACTTTATCTTTGAATTTGGATATATTTTTAGACTTATTATGGCTTTTTGAGTTCTTACCTCTGTCGATATTTCTATCCCTATTTGTTGTGACAAGAACTTAATTTTCAGAGTCTGAATCTTTTTGCTTTGCTTCTTCAATAAGTATACTATCTTTTAACATCTCTAATGTCATCATGTAATACGGAGATGAATTAAAAACAATCACAACTAGAGTATTCTAGCTATTTGTCAATAAACCTAAAATAAATAATGCCTTCATTTTATCATCCATTTTAAGCTCTGTAGAAGTCATTTGATTGAGTATATCTTGAAAATCACTTAAGTGCTATGTCATCAAATATTCTATCCTTGTACTGTAAAGTTGCAAGCTTTTTAACAAATATAATTTTATTCATGCCTGTTTTCCTCTCACACAATGCTGCTAATTTTTTTCAAATGGTGTAAGCATCTATCTCCTACGCTACATGATGGAATACGTTGATATCAACCCATTTTCTAATTGTGGCTAGTGTTTTTCTGTCTAGCTTCTTCCAACTTTCATCTTTCATATTTGTTGATTTAGCTAAATCACCCAATACTAGGTCATACAAATCTTTACAATATAAAGGATCCTTCATCATAGGCTTCCCAATTGAATAATTTGATTTTGTCAATTTTATCATGGAATCTGTATCACTCTCCATGATTTCAAATAGAATTTACTTTTATCTTGGGTTGCTTCTATATCAATGTCTCAAAAAAACTAAACTCTGATACCATTTGTTGGGCCTGAAATGATAAACATAAAAACACAGAAGCAATATATTGCAATAAACTCACAGCAATAGAAAATAATCAACAATCAACAATGCAAGAAAAATAAAGCACACTAAGATTTAGTAGAAAACCCTTCAGTGTAGAGGGTAAAAAATCATGGATCACCAAAAAAATCTTCACTATCAAATAATGGATATACAAAATTCTTCCATAGTTAAAACTAGAACTAATCAATAACTAAGGAGATAATTGAAAAAATCTTATCAAATAGATAACTCAACAAATATACCTTGGATTTATTCATAGGAAGTTCCAAATCCGATATCTACTGTTCAAAATGTAGAACACTGAATTATGAACTTACTAGCAAAATTTTAACTCAATCGAATCACGAATCAACTTTCGTTCAATCAACTCTCCCTTTTTTTTTTTTTTTTTCTATCTTCTCTCGTTTTTTTCTTTCCTTTTCAGTGCCACTTTATATTCATGCCAAAAACCTTTTGTCTTTTGTTTTAAAGTTAAGTTGGGTTGACTAAAACAAAAAGCCCTTCGCCTTTAATTGGCCAATGCCAAATGAAAGACCCCAGGCTCCTCATGGAGTGCATTCATTTATAATTAATTAAGTTTAAGAATTCCATAAATTCACGAATGCCTAAATTCATAAATAATCAAAATACATTCAGTCATAGTTAATTAAGCTCATTGATACCATAAATTCATGGATGGTTAAGTTCAAGAATAATTAAATATAGTATATATGAATTTAGATTGAAAATTTAAATGACACAAAACACATAATACATTCATTGATAATTAATTTAATTCAAGAATACCATATATTCATGAATGCTTAATTCAAAAATAGATAGATTTATGTAATTAAAATAAAAAAACATTAACAAAAAGATGTTAAGTTCATAACTAGATTGATTTATGTAATTAAAATAAAAAAAATAAATACATTAACAAAAAGATGTTTTAGATTGCCACATGTCAAGGAGATAAAAGTTTGTGGACGAAAAATAGTATTATGTTAGATTATATATTTTTTCATTATAAACAAATTATTAGTTCATATACAGATACTTTCATTTAAAAATTTGAAAAAATTCTTTCTAATTCATGCTTGAATTCATGAATAAATAGATTTATACATAATATATAATAATTCATCGATTTATCAAAAAATAATGATTCATCGATTAAAAAAAATCAAATAACTTCACGTGTCTAAAAAAGTTTGTTCAAATGTCAAACCCAAACCCCCCATATCATTTTTTTTTAATATAAAATTGATCACAACTTAAAAGATTAAGGAAGAGAAATTGCAAATTCTGATCAAACTCCAACCTTGCAGGTATAGATTTTTATGACACAAAAAAATGAGAAAAATTCAATAAGAAATAAAATTGGTCATAAAAAAGAAATATATTTACAAAATTTGAGAAAAGATGAATGTTTAAACTACAGGATGAATTACAGAATCAGAAGTAACAAGAAGTAAATGAAAATTCAAATTAAGGGATTGGTGATAAATGAAAAAGGAACAAGCAGAAGAAATATGGGAAGCTAAGGTGATCTCCAAACTACAGCAGTTAGCTTAGGTGTGATCAAGGGCACTTGGGTCCTCCCCTCTTGGTCTTCCAGTTGTTGTAGCAAGGGCAGACTTGCTTGTTTCCATAAGTTCCCGGTGGCACACACAAGCACTTCGCGCAGCACTTATTGCAGAAGAACAGGCATGGCTTCTTGTATTGTGTCTTTGAGCATCTTGCACTGCAGCGAGGGCCACACTCTGCAATTATTAATTAATTATAGTCTTGCAAGCAAATTTCATCAAAATTTGGATCATTATATTTTTATAAAAACTAGTAGATGAGCTTGTTTAATTTTCACCTTGGGGACGAAGGCTGCCTTGAGTGATTCCATGCTGAAAGCCAAAACAAAATTATTAACATATATATATATATATTATGGGATAAATGGAAATGAAAAAAAAAAAAAAAAGGAGATGCGGATCTCTTGCATATATATATATGTATATATAATTACCATTGCGAAGTTGCTAGGTGGCTGGGGCTGTGGCGCAGGTGCCTCATTAATTCTGGTAGCAGCCTGGGGATATCATCATTCGGTTATAAAATTAAAATAGAATCACAGGTGAATTAGGTTTTTACCGTAATCTGGAGATATAAAGAAAAGGATTGTATATGTTAAGATGTTAAGATTTGAATCCTAAAATCTATTAGATGCTATCTTTTAAAGGTTATTGCATTAATCAACAAAATTAATTTTAGGTTCCAAATAAAAATTTTGCAACTATATGTGCATGTAAAGCAATAAGTGACTTCGCAAGTGCAGATAATAAATTATTTTTCTTTTTTCTGTTTCTTTATTATTTATAATTTAACTTTTGGTTAAAAATAAAAGGGTGTCAAGTACGAAAATTACTGTACCAGCAATTACTAATACCCAAGAAAGTAAAAAGTATACTAACTTGTGGCCTAAATGCCACCACCATCCTAGTAAAAGAAAAGGCACCCGGTGGGGAGGAGGAGGAGTAGTGAGGAGAGAAACTCACATTGTTCTCTGCTGGTAAATGTATCATTATAACAAGAAAGAACATCACAATGGTTAGCTTCCCTGCCATTGCCTTTAGTAATGCAACTGCTACAATGAAGCGATCAAGAAGCAGCTGCCCAGAGAGAGAGAAAATTTGTGGGTGTCATGGCATGTAGTTAAGCCCTTCAGAGGGTATTTATAGCCAGTTGGATCAAACCATGGTTGAAGACTTGGAGAATCATGTGTGTCTTATTCATGAAAAAGGTCCGACTGCTACAGTTTGAAATAGTCACATGACCAAACCTTCTGCCTTCCAGAAAGGCAATTATACCTCTGTCCTTCTTTAGGTATACCATATATATATTTATACACTTATCGCTATAGAAATCTGTTTTTGGACATAAAGGAGTAAAAATGATTGAATGAAGGATTAAAGTGGTCATTAGTATATGAAAGGTAGAGGCAGGAACATTCCCGTGGCTTCGTTAATTTGATTCCTAACCATGTGAACCGACAACATGAAAATGACAAGAGAGCTACCTTACATGTGCACTCACATGTTTCAATATTAGGTTTCTGTGATAATTGGGTCCCAACAGATCCAAACTAAAATAACAGATCGAAGATGAAACAAACCATACACGTAGCCCTCTCACTCCTAACTGTTTGTTTGTCGAAACTTTTCATTCTTCCGCTTTCTCCGACTCTATCCGATTCTCGTGACCCTTTCCTGTTCGCTTCATTGCTGATCTTGGAAATTTAAGAAAGATAAGAGGAGGAACTGCCTCAGCCGCCCCTCCAGCCCAATAGGCCTTAGCTGTCATCTGTGTATTGCCTCTCGTGAACTATATGTCTTCTTGTTTGTTTGTTTTTTTTTTTTTTTTAATTACTAGTAATTCTTACTCTTTTCACCTTTGCTGTCTATCGAAGATGGATTCTACAACTAGCAACTACATTGTTATAACTAATGAGCATTACTGATTTTGTTAAAGATGTCTTGACATTATCTATTGCGGAAATTTCGATTCAAATTAACATTTATTGATCAATGATGAGAAATTATTTGGTAATTAAAGAAATTTAATAACAGTCATTTGATACCCTTGTTTGCTGGAAATAGTCACTTAAATCCAATAGAAGATTTGTTTGAGATTTTTTTAGAATAGTTAGATATTATTTGATAGATAAAAAGACTTGTAAGAAAAAAATTTTAAGAGGAAAGAGATTTTTTATAATCAAGTTAATAGGCTTATAAGCAGTGGGATCTCAATAAAGTTAAATATGAAAAAAAAATATAAGAAAGTTGTAAGATTTTACGGGTTAGACACTTCACAAAACTAAAGAAGATTGAGAGGGCCTATATGGATATGTATGTTTGATGTTTGGTGTGTATGAATACTTTATAGGACTAGGTGAGAATATCCTGAGTGTTGTTTGTTAGTGTATTAGCGGAGAATGAGAGATTCTACATGGGTATGTGTGTAAATGTTTGGATTTTGATTGTTAGAGATCAATTTGGGATTGATTTGATTGTATGTCTATAATTCTATACAATTAATGAATATTTTCTTTAATCCACGGCGATAAGCAAGTCGAGTGTCAAATTATATTAAATTATTATTTCTTATGTGGATGATTTATGGTTTGATTGTGCTTTCACTTGTGTGAATGTTCAATTGGTTGAGAATTTTTTCTTTAACATTGATGATAAAATCTTGGCCTAGTGGCAACAAAAAGGATAAAGAATGCATGAAAGCTTGGGTTTGAACCAAGCCAATACCTTCCCATCCCAAAATCTTGTAAACCAAAAAACTAAAAATGACATAATATTTCATTGAAATACATAAAGTTTACAGTAAAGTTAATTTACACATATAATATAGTTTCCAAATTATAGTAAAATATACAAATTGGTATCTCCAACAACATATATCATGTTAATCTTGCTCACATGGTATCCGATCAATAAAAGTTGCATTATATATACATCACATATGAAATAAAAAAATTAAATAATTCTTTAAATTTACATCAGGATGTCACGTGACAACTCATGATTAATGAATTTACTTTAAAGAATAAATTATTTGTTCTTTTAAGACAAATTAATATAAATATATAAAAATATTTTGTAACCATAATATGATTAAAACAAAAAGAAAAATTATGCTCTCTAGCTTACCTTTAGTGTTAAGAGTGGCACTTTCTTTGTCAAATTCCTTGGAGTCTCTCTTAAGCAAAATAAATAATATATATATATATATATATATATTCTACTATCCAATTTGCCTCTGGTGTTAAGATTGGCACTTTCTTTGTCAAATAACTTAGAGTCTCTCTTAAGTAGAATAAATGTTTGGGAAGCCAAACATCTTTCATATGTTGGTAGATTGCAACTTACCTCAATCTTATCATGCATGCAGAATTTTTGGTAATAGAAATTTTATTTTGACTCAAAAAGTTATAAAGAATTTGAGAGAAGGCTGTTGGTCTTAAAAATCTTTTACACTTGGAATCATGGATGTTGTTACGTCTAAGTCAATTGATCAACGATCAAGGCTTGGTCAACATAGTTATACTTTAGAGTCACTTAGACATGACACGCTTGGACAGCCACATCATATACTCTAGGGAAATGGCTCGTCTTTTGCCAAAAGTGTTGGGCTAAAAGCCTCCAATCCAATCACACCAACGGAAGCGAAATCAAATAATAATCAAACACATAAGAGACAACAATTTAACGTGGTTCGGTCCAACTGACCTACATCCACGGATGAGAAACAAGATCCACTAGTTGTAGAGAATTACAAACTTACATCAAATCATCAACCTCACTCAACAATCAATACTCATAAGACACTCTCAATCTCCTCTAGTCCTATGGAGTATTCTCAACCCAAACAAATACAAACCCAAACCCTTGTGCACCCTTTCAACATAACCAAACACATACCTATATGTTCCCATACATCATACCTATGTAGATCCTCTCAGTCTCCTTTAGTCCACTCACAAACAAACATACACACCCATAAGACATAGAGCCCCAATACTCCTATGGGGTGTCTATCCCATAAAACCCTACAACTCTCTTACATTTTTTTCTCATACCTAACCCTGTAGAGACTTCACATATTTATAACCATACAAACTTGCTCATTAAGAATCCCTCTCCTCTTAGAATTCTTCTCTTGTAAGTTAAACTTGCCTATTAAGAATCTCTTTCCTTTTAGAATTCTTCTCTTGCAAGTCAAACTTACCTATTAAGAATCCCTTTTCTCTTAAAATTCTTCTTTTGCAAGTCTTCTTGTCCATCAAGCAATATCTGACAAATCTCATACAAATCTCTAACAATTCTCAAACAAATCTCTTATGGGATTTGAGTCAATATTCCCAACAAAAAGAAGAACTTGCCTCAGGTTTTATTGACAACCTATTAAGACATTCACTTCAGAACTGATCGTTTGACATCCAACTTGCTTGAAACAATTAAATGTAACCCACGCCTACTTGAGATCATTAAATGCGATTCATATCTACTCATATAGACCCTTTTCAAGCTCCATGTAAACATCTCATCAACTATCAACTGTCTCAATAAAGTCACTGCCTCTTGATCTCATATATATAAGATAATTAAAGACTAAGTACATAAGCACAGTAGGAACACCTAAACCTACAACACACTTTAAGCTTTTCCTTCATTGAAGCTTCCACCACTCACTTCACCATTTTCATCTTTTTTCGTTTCTTTCTTTACCTTACTTCAAGCATCCTATTGACTTAAGTTTCAGATAGCATCTTGGAGTAACAACTCCAATACTCTTTGATTATGTTTTATGGCTGTAGGTCACAGTTGTCTTCCATCCAACCTTACCTGACCTTTTTCTAGCTAAACAACCTAAAACACCATCAACAATCGATGCCATTCGTGGGAAATGATAGTCATGTCTTACCAACCATATTCCTTTAAATCTTTAACTCTTATAATTGATGCTTTTACTCAACTTGCAGTTGTTATTGATGTAGCATCTTTGCTACCAATTCCTCCTCAAATCCTATCACCAAATCTACCTTATTGGAATTCTCCATTCCCTAGTAGCCCACTATCATTAAATGCTTGAGTCACATAGTCTTTAGGTTTTTACCAAAATTTGATGGGAGTTTTATGTCTAAATGTAACATTAATTCCACCATTAGTCCATATCACTGCAGTCAAACCTTTAAACCCTGTTTCCCAACCACCCACAGCATAAATTCCCTTTATATAACCCATTAAATGCCAATCAGTGGCCAAACATTCCTTCTGTAACTTCCATCATACATGTTTCACTTCCAATGCCACAGATCCCAACATATCAACCCACCATGTAGCAATTTTCTCTAGATTTTTTCTAAGCCCTCATGGCTCAAATACAACTTCTAAATGCCTAGGTGGCCATTCAACAAAGGTTGCTCCTGTAATACCAACAAGCTACTCAATAGCCTCTCAAGAATGACCCCACCTTAAAAAATCTCAGCCTCTTCCTTGAAAGAACCGCCAACCCACAAAACTTAACCCTCCTTAAAGAAACCTACCTCCAAACACTATAAAACAATACCCACCATAATAACCATACCATACTAAACCCTAGACAAAGTCAAGTCTATGCAAACCTTAACCTAGATAATGAGCTAGTTGTGCAATTCGTTACACTACGCAAAGAGCTAGTTGACTTAAAAACAGAGAAAAACAAAAGACACATAGAATGGAACCATTGATCTAGAAGATCATTTAGATGACTTTAGGATATTCATGGACCTGCACAATGCTTTTGATGTGGTGAAGTGCAGAGTTTTCCCTACCACCTTGTGTGAAAAAGTCAGAATATGGTTATACTCTATGACCCCTACCACCATAGATAGTTTCGATGCCTTAAGCAAGCAATTTTTGGCACATTTTTTGAGTAGTGTGCTATTGTCCACTCATCTACAAGCATGTTATTTGTAAAGGAAAAACTAGATAAAAATTTATGACAATATTTGAAAAGATTTAATGTAGCCACTTTAGAGATAAAAGATTTGAATGCTAAGTCGGCCATTTTGGCCTTTACTTTTAGTGTGAGGCATGACCATCTCAAGTTCTTATTGATTGAGAACAAATCAGAATAGCTATACCAATTGCATGAAAGAGCCCAAAAGTTTGTTGAAGCAAAAGAGATTAGGACTATGAACATGTCAGAATGGGGTGAGCAATGCCAAAATGTCTATGAGGATAGAGTTGGCAAATAGATTCATGTTCTATGATAACCATTAAGCCCATAACCAGTAAAGAAAAAGAGAATGGCATAACAACAACAACAACAACAACAGAAGCTCCTAAGCACAATCCAACCAACACCAAAACCAAAATAGAACTCTGAATGCCATCACACAACATTCCACCCAAAAGCCCAACCAAAGACCCAATCAGGCAAGGCCTTCGCTTAAATGCCCAAAAAACCAACCCCTACAAAAAGACATGACAATTATCATTCAACTAAAGGGCACTGCACTAATAAGTGCATAGCTTTTTAAAAGAAGATTAAAACACTAGAGAGCCTTATCAACACCTGACCTACCCTCATAGCCAATAAGCCTTTTCATCACCAAAATCGTGAACCACCTACCTGTAAATAAGGTAAGGGCTCATCTCACTAAATAGAAAAGGTCTATCAAGAAAAAGTTATGGGCAAATGCCTAATCCAGGGCATTACTCATGTTATTATAAGGGCCATAAAAGATTGGCCAAATAGTAAATCCAAGCACATGTCCCATTTGTATAGTGTAATGGCCATCAACGTTGCACCTAAAAAGTAAATGGTTAAAGATTGGCAGGTCAATGCTTATAAAATGATACTGATATATTGGTGGACAATAGCAATGACCCTATAATGATCA